CTGCTATCAAAAAACCAAGCAAGTATCCCTTCTTCTGGACCAAAAGTTTTCCCCTCCACATGGGGAATGGTGACAAAGCTTTTTGGGAGGATGAAATTACCTTAGACATCGACTAGCATGTCACTATAGAAGCCCAATCCGTATGCGTTACAACTCGAACTTTCCTATACGTAACCAACTTTTTTTTTCAAAAATATAAGTTCGGAGTCCTGTTGTCTTGGAATAAGCAATGATTTTTTGTAAACAGGAGTGGAACTGCAAAATGGAGCAGCAAGCCCAGGATGCCATTAAATCTTGTTCCATCGACACTGATGGAAAAGGAATCATTGCATACAACTCAATGAAGTGAGCATATACCTCATATGTTCTAATAAAGTAAACTCGTTTAATTGGTACTCCTGTTAGCCAATATTAGACTTGCCTTCCTACAAATACAGGACAAAAAGAATAAAATTCAGCTTTCTGAGGAATCTCATTACAACATGCTAAACCGCTCATCTGACCAACATGTTGCTTAACAATATCCCTCCTTTCTTGATTTTGAAAAATATATTCTACAGGTGGTACAGTAGCAATCCAAAAGCGTATGCCGATCCATCCATTCAAATAAATCGAACGCTTACAAATTGGTGGGGAGAAGCGAGAGAAAACGGTGTTAAGTCGGGAAACATATATACTGGAATTCTGTACTCGTTTGCGAATGTAAGCTCAAAACACAAATCGATTCTATTGTTCCAGTAATTATGATGTTGGAAACTGTTATACTTTCAGATGGTTTTCTCCGAAACGACAAAAATCGGTTGCGCTTACAAAGTCTGTCGCGGTAAAGGTACAACTCTAGCCATTATATGCACATATAATGAGATGTGAGTTTTCTTTCAAATAAAATGCAGGGTACTCTGAAGCATTACGTCCCAGTTTTTTGCTAATATAAGGTTGAGATGAAGTGCTACATTTAGCGCATACTTCGACGGTAACCCAATGTGGGAAACTGGTCAGCCTTGTAAGGTTGGCGCAGACTGCACCACTTTTGAAAAGTCTGGCTGCTCTGATGGTCTCTGCACTAAAGGACCTCCAATCCCAGGTGAAACATGCGAAGTTTGAATTTTTGCTAAGGTTAGGCTGATAAAAAGCCAATGTAGTGCATTGACAGCGTTAATCTGTGATGGCTATTTCAAATTGTACTAAAC